GCCACCCTCACCTGGACTGATCGATAGTTGCTGTCCCACACACCTGCACCGAACAAGTGCTGTTCCCGCACTCACCTGCGCTGAACGAGTGCGGCTCTTCGCCGTTCTCGTACCAGAAGCGGTCGCCGCGTCTGAGCGTCTGGAACTGGTGCGCCATCAGACAGCCGAGCGTGGGGCCGACCAGGGCGCCGTCTGGTGGCGTCTCCAGCAGGCCGCCCACGTACAGGTCGATGTCGTCTACGCGCCTGCCGGAATAGGTGGCGCTGCTGTCGACACGGTGCATCGGATCGTCGTCGGGGTCAACGCTGTCCTGTCATGTGCATTACAAATGTTGAATTTCAGGCTTGATCGGCTCAAATGGTTCGAATTCTAGCCCATCGTCAAACAGCAGACTGGTTATTTATAGAGAGATGCACTGTCTCGCAATATCTAGGTGTAATACCTACTGTCTTGGCTACGCAACATCGTAGATAATGATATAATGTTCCGAGACAAAAGAAGAATCCCACTGCTGGATTTGCTAAAAAGGCCTGTTTCCACGTTTGGAGTCGGAACACGACGTACATTATGCGAGGAGCTGATGCTTGATTCGGGGAACGAATCGTGTGCTGAATGGCCCAGAGGTTGAGGCAAAGCAGCGGCATTAAATTTTTTGTTTTCTTTAAAATTTTGGATCTCCGCCTTATTTTTATTAGTCATCACGAATTTTGCAAATTGTTGGATTTGAGAATAATGTTGAGTAGTCAGAGGGTAAATGATAAAGCGCTAGAACAAATTGTCATCAATCCTAAACCGTTAAATTTCGCAAGTAGATCATTCATAGCGTTTGAAGCAGCCAATATCAAATTAATTTACTGAGCTGGACCAGATCCCGTGAGCTGCACTCACAAAGCGCACAATCCCACCCCCCTCCCCCCCCCAAGCGGGTTCATACGTGTAGGTGGCGATGAGCCTGGCGGACAGCGCGAGGACTCATGATGGCCTTGAGGTCAGCGAAGGCGTTTCACCTCGGGCGAGGGCCGCCACGCCCGACGCCACAGCGTGTAGGAGGGCAGGCCGTGGTCCCGGCCGCGCTGCCGGAGGGCAGAGAGTGCGCCCGTCAACGGCAGACGTCAGACGAGGTCAGCGACGCCGCGGACGGTTACCGAGCGAGAGACAGAGACGGAGAGCGGGCTTGGCCCGAGTGGCGGCGTCAAAACCCTGAAGGCCTCCCCCGTCACGTTCTTCGGCTTGACCGCCCTATCCTCTTCGCGGCGCACACGGTCGGCCGGTCGGCGACAGTCCTGGTGGCCCGCGACAGAATCTCAGGCCGGTGGTGCGGGGCGGGTCTTTCGCTCGCGGCTCCGGCTTCGCTCCGACATTGATGGCTAGTGGTGCGAGGGCGCTTCGGAAGGTCACGGAGCTAATGACATGGCTCCGTGGTGGTCGAGTCGGATTTTTACGAGCGTGACGCGTGGTTTGGGCGTGCTTGATGAGGCCGACGTGCATATTGGGGCCGGTGGCATGCCGGGTCATTGTACGCGGATGGTCGCCAATTGGCGTATCCACCCGCCCCACCACGCTGTCAATGCGCCGGCCAGCGTCGTGGATAACTGTCCACAGCACGTCCGTAAGCCGATCAGTAAAGCCGACAGAGGCTTTGTTCCATTTAATTTCCCCTCCGCGATTCGCCCCGCCTGGCCGCGCCTGCGGAACCGTTCTCGACACCATAATTACACCGCGCTGTTCACAAGCCGCTGGGAAGCTCCCTTAAACCAACCAACTTCAACGCCATCGCGCTAAACAAAAGCTACACCAAGCGACGGGGCGAGGGCGAGCCGTGGTGCCCGTGCGCTGAGAACGGGGCGTAGATCGCACTACATCCCACCTGGATGTTGAGAGCGCCGAGATCGAGCCCGAACGCCTGCCCCGGCGGCGCGAACAGCCGGTTCCTGATGGTGTCCACCAGGGTAGTTGTCCGCTTCGCTGCTGTTGGCGTTGGCCAGGCCTGTCCGCGACAGACGCCGTGAAAACTCCACCCGGTAACGAGCGGGCCCAGCTGGGAACCCGACCTCCGCGGGGGCAGGGGGCCAAGCACGCAGCACGGCGCCGGAAATGATGCATCCCATGTAATGGTCGCTTGTGGTCGGGCGGTAATTGGTCCATGCATCCCCAAATAACAATGCCTCGCTTCTGCAGGAATGCAGCTGCAAGTGGCAGTGAACGGCCGGGGTGGCGATGGTGAGAAACTGAGAAGCACCATGGCAACGATGGTAAATAACTAACTTCAGTTCCGACGAAAACTGTGGAAGACTAGACGACGTTTCGCCGGTCGGTCATCACAGCTATGTTCATGGGCATCTGTATTTTCTGCTTAGATCTGCACAATTGCGTGGCCTCTAATTATTTTAATAGTCTTACGTTAAATCTTCGACGGGAGATTTAACGAGAAAGCCCAAGTGGTATTTAGCCTGACAAGAGCATGGTTGGCACATTAGCTGCCGGCGGTCCAAAATATTTACATATCTACCTGTTGTTCTTCCAAGCTAGCGCAGTAACGTCTTACGACGTCTAATTTAGCTCGATATATCTACGCTGACATTTCCGACCATGCCTTCGGAAATTGGGTCTAACCGCACGTTACGGCTGTCTAAATGAAAAGCTGCCTGGCGGGCACGGTAATGGGATCCAGGATTCAGGATCCAGGAAATCCAGCGCGGCTCACGTCAACCTACCGGCCATGTACTCGTCTATCCTGCCCGGATGGTAGAGTGAGTGGGGCCGGAAGAAGCTCTTGTGCAGTGAGACGCCGGCCAGCTTGGTGTGCCAGGGCGTGAACAGCAGCAGGTGGTCCGGCACGAGCGTGTGGCCGAACCTGTCGGCGAGGACGGCCTGTCTCAGCCCGGCGGATCCCTCGGCCTGGTAATAGGCTACGTCCACACCGTGCGCATTATCCGAAAGGCTGCGACAGGCTGGGACGGCTTTGGATTCAGGTTGGCTTGGTGCTTGGCTGTTGGCGCTGGATAATAATATCAAGAACTTTCCACGTTGTACTGAAACCAACTGGACAGTTATGTGCATGATTGTTGAGTGCTGGATTGAAACTGTCAATTATAAACATCGCCGTCCCTGCTCCGCATCGCTGCGGCAAAGAATCCCTGAACGCGTGGGATCATCCCTGAGCTCGGCAAGGCTTAAGTTCCGAACACCTCCCTCACCTCATAGCCCCTGTAGCGAACACGTTGGCAATGGTCGGGTCCACGTTGGGGCTGTAGCCGCCGTAGAACCCACTCTTGGCCGGTGCCAGGTCATGTCGGGTCACGAGGTCATCGCCTAACACGACCGGCAGCCACTCGCTGTAGGTGATGTGCTGGATCATCGCTGCCACCAGCCGGCGAGACTCCTGGGGGACCACGGCCCGGCTACAGGAGCGAGTCAGCCGCGACGGCGCCGCCCGGCCACAGGACCCCGGCGAACTCTCCAAACGACCCGAGCTCGGGCGGCTGCAGACCGCGGGTCGTCCCGCGGCCTCGCCGACCCCGACCTCCACACACATGCATTAACGGCCGGCCGGCTGACGCTAATGACCCGATGGCTATCACGCCACGGAGCGCTCGAGACGTGACTGTCGCCCGGCTCGTCGCACCTTAATTGCCCCCTTCCGAACGCCATATTTCACCTGGAATAATTTTTCGTCGTCCCATCCGGAGCAGTATCGTTCCAGCTTGCCGGCCACTCGGTTGTGCTCTCTGACCCAGAGCGTGTGAAGCGTGGTCAGGTCGGGCTGCTCGTTCACCCGGATGTCACCTGAGCGACGCAGAGTCAGAGTCAGAGCCTGACCCTGACGCAGAGGTCAGAGTCAGAGCCGCGGACGCCGCAGTCCGGACGAGACTCGCGTAATCGCGTCATTACGTTTCCCGCCAGGAGAGCAGACCGAAGGACTGTGACGGCCAGCTGAGGTCTAGCAGCGGAGACTGCCTCGCAACACTGGAGAGCAGACCGAGGACTGTGACGGCCAGCTGAGGTCTAGCAGCGAAGACTGCCTCGCAACACTGGAGAGCAGACTGAGGACTGTGACGGCCAGCTGAGGTCTAGCAGCGGAGACTGCCTCGCAACGCTGGAGAGCAGACTGAGGACTGTGACGGCCAGCTGAGGTCTAGCAGCGGAGACTGCCTCGCAACGCTGGAGGGCCCAGCGGAAGGCCAACGCGCTAAAACGCTGCATTACGTTGGTGGTGGAAGTGGAGGCTGTTGCGCATAAGATAGCTATGTAACTCTGTTCATCACTAGAGCCGGAAATGCGTAGACCTGATACCGTCACGTACACGAGAATCCATATTCCCTTGCAACCGATAGGACAAGCTTTCGAACTTGCGTGCCATCTTTTCTCTTGTGAGCTATGGAATCAAAACTAAACAAACTGAGCCTGCGCTGAAGCTTACTGAAGGAAAACAGGTGTTTTCATACGCTGTGATTGCCTGTTAAAAGCTGGGCGTTAACTCATTCCCACACGAATAATTAGTGTCTGGGAACGGACCTCAGAGGGCCACCTCGAAAGTGGTGCCTTTTCCTCCCGACTGTTTGTCCTACAATCTGTTGTAGCGGGAGTTGCTCTCATAGTCAGGGTAACTGACGCTAATATTCGCCAGCATAACTTTGAATATGGACGCAGTTTGAAACGAAACGATTTTAAGGTGAGAGAATTAGTAAAATCTGCACAAGGAAAGCACTGCCTACTTCTGGTAATCAGAACGGATTTCGGACAGTCTTTGTATCTTGCCCAATATGCCGTGACAATCCAGCAAACTGACATTAAGTTTATGTTCTGGAAGGAATTTTGGTGGTGCAAAGGGCCTTATCAGCATCACTTGTTCCAGGCAGCTCACCGGCCTGGAAGCACTTGACATCGGTCCTCTGTCGGATGCAGCTACCGTCGCCATCAGTAGTGGGAAGCAGAGAACCGGTCATTTTCATCTTGCCCCCCTCGTACTGCCGCAGCTGCTGCAGTTCACCGTCAGAACTTCCGTAGACGCCAGAGCCGTCAACGAATGACGTAACTTGGTTGACCTGCTCTCTGGGACCTGTTGGTCGGAATGAAGTAATGAGACATCTTGAATCATCTAGCTGCAGGATTCCCACGCATGAACGACGAATGTGGCGCCTTATATGCATCCACATATTCATATATATATATATATATATATATATATATATATATATATATATATATATATATATGCATATATAGGGCGCGACACTCATCGCTCCAATTGGATACCAATGCAGATGATGACACCGAGGTGACACCTTGCGACAAATTCGTGCTTTCCTTGAAACGCCAAGCATATCAGCGAAGTGATTTTGTCAACAAACGTGACGGCAGACGCAGATGGCAGAGTTCGGGTTCGGGCGTTCTATGAAGCCCTGGAGCCACCGGCCACCGTCAGCCACGTCGCCTGGTGTCCGGGCGCTATCGGCGCTATGAGACCATATACGCTGTGGCACGTCGTGATGGAGCCTTGTCTTTGTAGCGTGTTTTATACCACTTCTGCCATCCATTAACTAGACCTGCCAAGTTCTTTACCGCTGGACAGAAGAGCTTGAGTGAGAACCATGACAAAATGAGCCCGTAACCGGATCCTTTATGACATCCAATCCAATTATGAGCTCGTTATGTCATGCGATAGGCACTAGGCGCCACCCTCTAGCCATCACACAGCCGACGTAGTATCAAACAACGGTTCTTGTCCTCACGGCCGTGAAAATGTGTCCTCCCTTCATTACAACGAGAGCATCATTCACGTTTGGTCATTGTAGCAGACGCTAGACGCGCCCTTCAAAAGCGTCGAGCGCGAAATTGACTCGGAGCTTTCTCTTATCCAGACTTGTGTTCGCATATGCTGCAAATCGAAGGCCACACTTGCATTATTTTACGCTTTATCTGTACCCATTCATGTATTCAGTCATTTGGAGAATCACTGTACATGATACTTATTCAGCGGATTTAGCCATGCATTTTACGCATTCATTTTGTGCATCCACGTACCCGTGTGCGACGTCGGAGGCGTTTCTTACCACACGGCCTGATCTTATCGCGCTTAAAATCAACACGCGATTGATGTTCTTTCCTTAATGTGCTGAACCTCTCAGGAGCGCTGCGGCGACATGCAGTAATGTGATAGGATGTGTCAGATTTCATGGTTCTTTATGGTGGCCGGGACGTTTGTGTGCGTGCAAGCAGAATAGGAGCACTGACATTCACTTCGAGAGATTTTGGGTGGTACTGTGTACTAATTAACATGGAATAAATCGACACCGTGCACTAGTATGACTTTTGAGGCGTGTTTTTCCATTACGAAGTCCCCTTGATTTGAAGGGACACTTTCTTCGCTTCTCAGGCCTCCCATGCCGTGCTCCCCTTCCCTCTAAGCCCATCGGCAGGTGGCGCGGGCGCCGCGTTCGACTCACCCAGACCACAGCCGTTGTGGACGGCGGCTACGGAGCGGGCGAACTCCATGCAGCTCTGGCCAGACTGCCGGTACAGGCTGTCCGTCCGCGGGATCGCGATCGGGAAACAGTCCGGGTGCTGCAGCTGCGGCGGCAGCGAGCAGCACGAGATCGGACTCCCGTACAGCGTCGCTGAAACCGGCGCCGCCGTCAGCCAAGTCGAGCAGAGATCTGCGCGATGCCGCTCGCGGCGCAGGACGACGTTGCTGCGGTCATCAAGGGTGCGGTGACGGCAGAATGCGACCCAGCGGCCCGCTTACTGAGGGAAAATAGCAGCAGTTGGGTCTTCACAATGCACTCAATACGTCAGATTTGTTTGCCAATCGCAGCGGAGAATACCGAAACTCAACTGGTAGAAAGTCACGCGGCTTGTCACAACGACACCATCGCCATGGCATCATGACAGTCTGCGTCGTGACGCCCCCCCCCCCCCTTCCCCCTCCTCCCATCTGCCCGAGTGACATCCCAAGAGCCGGCAGCTCTCGCACGTGTGCAGCCAAGACGCCGCGCGCGGCGAGCCAGGCGGTACGGTTCGGTGTCGGTCCGCCGTCACCAGCCGGCGACGCCAGCGGCCGGCGTCGTCACCAGCCGGCGACGTCACCAGCCGGCACCGCCACCGGCCGGCGTCGTCACCAGCCGGCGACGTCACCGGCCGGCGCCGTCACCAGCCGGCGACATCACCAGCCGGCGCCGTCACCAGCCGGCACCGTCACCAGCCGGCGACATCACCAGCCGGCGCCGTCACCAGCCGGCGTCGTCACCAGCCGGCGACGTCACCAGCCGGCACCGCCACCAGCCGGCGACGTCACCAGCCGGCGACGCCACCGGCCGGCGTCGTCACCAGCCGGCGCCGTCACCAGCCGGCGTCGCTACCAGCCGGCGCCGTCACTAGCCGGCGCCGGCGCCGCTCGGCTCGACGCGTACCTGTGTTCATCGGCGTGTGGGAGAGGTCGTGGTCGAGGAACTGGCCCCACTGCATCACCATCAGCGAGATGCGCTCGGAGCGGCCAGCCGGCACCAACCGCTGCGACAGGCAGGCGGCGCTGGCGCGGCGCGAGCTGGGCAGCGCGGCGCCGTCCCGCGAGACACGTGGACTGTCCACCTCTGCGGCAGGGCAGCGTCAGTCACACACGCTCTCTGGCCGTGGACTGTCCACCTCTGCGGCAGGACAGCGTCAGTCACACACGCACTCTGACCGTGGACTGTCCACCTTTGCGGCAGGACAGCGTCAGTCACACACGCACTCTGACCGTGGACTGTCCACCTCTGCGGCAGGACAGCGTCAGTCACACACGCACTCTGACCGTGGACTGTCCACCTCTTTATGCAGCGTTTATGCAGACCGCAGCAAAGTGGTTTGCGGATTTTTTTTTTTTTTTTTTGACAGACAGTACGTGTTTATTGAACCAACCGTCCAAATCCACAATGAGCAATCGTCGCTCCTGTACGTTGTGCAAAAATGAGGAAAAGGAAGGCCATTCAGTGGAAGTGGAAAGAAACGGCGACATTTCATGTTGTTGAACGCGTAGTCTGTTGCATGATCGTGTAGAGCAAATAAGCAAGCGAAGTAAGCAAACCCCAGGGCGTTGGGATTCATACTTAATAAATCGCTTAACCGTACAAATCAGTCCGCCATGGACCGTCACCTAGCGCACTGCGACCCTCTGGCTATACACACCACCCCAGCGCCTGACTATTTCCGACGTGCCACCTGCGGAGCATGCAGAGGAAACGGCCGTCGTTACCCGGGCCCCCGAAGCGTTCCACTCCCCAATACGTTGGGGAAGGGGGGGGGGGGTCTGCTTCCGTGAACTCCAACTGGGCAAATTCCGGAAGGATCCCGTCGGTGGTGGTTCCGTGGCGTGTTGACGCCCGGGTGTTTCCTGGCGCCGGGCGCCGGGCCGACGGCGCGTCTCTGATCACCGAGAGCGGGCCAGCGCCGGCCGACGGCGCGTCTCTGGTCACCGAGAGCGGGCCAGCGCCGGGCGACAGGCGCCGGGCGCCGGCCGACGGCGCGTCTCTGGTCACCGCAAGAGGGCCAGCGCCGGGCGACAGGCGCCGGGCGCCGGCCGACGGCGCGTCTCTGGTCACCGAGAGGCGGGCCGTAGCGCCGGGCCCGGCCGACGGCGCGTCTCTGGTCACCGAGAGCGGCCAGCGCCGGGCGACAGGCGCCGGGCGCCGGCCGACGGCGCGTCTCTGGTCACCGAGAGCGGGCCAGCGCCGGGCGACAGGCGCGACGGCGCCGGGACCACCCCCTCACCGAAGCGGGCCCGCCCGCCGCCGGCCGCCACCGCCCTGGCCACGCAAAGCGGACCAGCGCCACGCCGCAACAATTAGGCCCCATAAAACCCGGCCCACTGACAGCGGCGCACCCGGCCCGGCCACCGCGTGAAAAATGGATGGGAAGCGCGGCGCATCGAGCGAGTTATGCGCGTAAACACGCGGCTTCTAATTGGCTCATTAAGCGGGGAGTAACGGTGCAGGGGCGTGCGTCTGGCGGACCAGCTGAGCACAAAAAGGCGGCGGCTCATGGACTGCGTCTCGCGCGCGCTCTGGTACCGATCCAGCCCGTGTGGAGGTGCGGTGCTACAAGCTGGATTGTGTCGTCGTGAGCGGTACCGACTGAATCCTGAGCAGGGTCGGAGAACCCGGGAAGCCCCAGAACAGACGGCTTTATTTATTGCCACTTTTAGGTGTGTCACTGTGATGGATGAGATGCACGTTGGTGTGTGCAGTAGTGGAGATTATCTCAGCTTCGAAGAATCGGAGATGTAGCAGAACGTTGAGAGGCGTGACTTTTTTACGCTTGACTTGCATCTAATTCATATTAGATTTGTCCTCAGAGTATTAGGAAAGGTTGACACTATCGGTTCTGCCATGATGCGTCACCCGCATGAGCTGTGATGTCGCTCACGGCGTCGCCACCAGGTCAGTTGACTTCGGTTGCACGCTGGGGTTACAAAAGTTTATTTTTCGCACCAAGCCTCGAAAGGGAGAGACAAAGTCGATAGGCATCACTCAATGTTGGGGCGATGAAGCCGCCAGTGCTTTTCTCAAACTCGCATAACACGTTACATTTTGCAATCAATATTTGGAAAGTTGATTCCCTTGCGTCATTGACAGCACACTCACTGTCGCCGTAGTCCGGTGGAAGTAGCCGCACAAAAGCCGACTTGGCACTGCCCCACCACGAGAACTTGACGTTGTTGCAGGTGCCGTCGACACTCCTGTACTTGCTGTCGAGATCGCAGCTGGGGTACTCAACGCCGTGATGCGGAGGGCAGAGGTTGCCGAGCCGGGTCAGCCTCAGGTCATAGAGCGGCAGACGAAACATGACGTCCTCCCCGGACAATGCCAGCCTGTCGAGACAAATATAAATAGGATGACCGCGCGACCCCAGACCGGGAATCCCTCCCGGTCATTATTGCGGTGCCCAGCAATTACTGAAAATTGGCGCGAGCCTCGTCCAAAAGCGTCCCGACCAAACTCCCACACTGGTCCCTTGTCAGATCACGCCAGCTTGATTGTCCGGCGACCACATGGCAGAACCTTGGCCTCGGACTGAGGCTGGTCGGCGCGTGAACGGAGACAACGGAGAGTCGTCGATCAGGCTTAGCCGGAAACATAAATGGTTTGGCTTCTGTAAGCCCACTGTTGCGCTCCTTCTGGCCGCCCAACCCCCGTCTATACGCCTCCTCCGCTTTCAAGACTTTGATCCCCGCGGTTCGTCGCCACTCCCACCTTTCCTGAAGTAGCTTGGTGGCCCGCACTGCTGTCAGAGCGAAGTACGAGTCATTCTTCACCTCCGGCAGGGGACGCCGGTGCATGGAGTGCAGGCGCGACGTGTACCGGATGTCCTGCTCTGCCCCGGCTGCCGACACGAGCGCCGCCAATCAGCCAAGCCGTGCCACGGTCGTGCGCCGATGGTCCGCGCAAGGCGCCCTTCACGCACGTGGCACGTGCGCCACGTGTCGCCCGAGCCGTGGCACGCCGTCCGCCAACGCCCCCGCGGCGTCGCCGGCCTGCCGCGGGCTCACACTTTACGACGGGAACCAGCGGCCGGCCGTCGGACGCCGGCCCGGCCGGCCGGCTCCGCGGAACGGCGGCGACATGCTCGTAAAGCGAGGCGCTCCCATATCGGCGGCAGTGGTGGGGCGAGACGCCGCTAAAGTTCAGCAGCCGCATGAGAACGCGCCCGCTGAGGGGCGGCACAACGTCACCATGTGAGGCGTCTCCAGCGCGTCTGGCTTATTGGCGGCGCTGTAATTGCCAATGTCTGTATGTAAATCCCTGTCGTCAAGTAATTGGGACGTCAAATGGACTCGCCTGCCTTGTTGGTAGATGGCTTATTGTCCCGCCCCAGAATCAAAGTGCGGTAACTGTACAATAGCGGACGCTTTCGGCAGATTCTTCGATGTTGTCCTGCGGCTGACACGAGGATCGTCGGACCCACAGGACTCTGCGTCACATAGTGAAGCCAGTTGGCCGGCACTGTGCGGGCCAGGTGGGGTAAACGTGGCGATCACCTTGGCTGTCGCTGCGGCGGAGGTCCTCCACCTCTTCCGTAGCCACGCGCACCACATCGCCGAGGAGGTCGTCCCGGAACGTCAGGTCGACGGAGTTGTCCAGGTCGTCCAGGATCGGCCGGGAGTACTCCTTGCCGAGCAGCGGCCGCAGGTTGAACAGGCAGTGTCCACTGGAGATCAGTACGGCCAAGCTGCGAGGAGAACACAGCTCGGTTGAACAAGTTGCGAGGAGAACACAGCCCGGTTGAACAAGCTGCGAGGAGAACACAGCCCGGTTGAAGAAGCTGCGAGAACACCGCTCGGCTGAACAAGTTGCGAAGAGAGCATAGCTAGGCTGAACAAGCTACGAGGAGAACACAGCTCGCTTGAACAGGCTGCGAGAAGAACATCTCTATCGACAGCATTGTGTGTGTTCTGAGCTAAGTGTTAGCAAAGGGGCATTCCATTGCATGTGTCGGGCCTAGTGGGTCTTTTTCATCGGACGTTTTACCTTTTGTCGTTTTCAAGAAAGCTTGTTATCCGGAACGTTCTAAAAAGTCCACAAAGGTTTTGATAATGCCTGCAGTCATGTTTATATCTCTAAGCATCTCCTCAAACAGAAGTTTGAAATTGTGGACGCTTCTTTATATCGAACAAGCCGTTTGCAGCACGACCAAACAGCGAACACGTTTAATCATGACATAACCATACTGTTATCGTATTGGAAATCCGAAGATTTCTGCGTGGTTTCTGGAAGCGTGTTTTTCCGGGCATTTTTCAATTATTTGCCAGATTTTAGTGGTTTTGATACTATTGGAAAAATATAGAGGACGGTCCAGGTGCTGATTTCTCATTCGATGTATCTGCTTGATTTAAAATAGCGAATGCACCGTGACAACCTTGTATGTCGCCTGCAACGTATAAGCAGATACCTATACCTTAAATATTTAATATTGAAGGTTACATGATAGGTAATGTCAAACAAAGTCAAATATTTTTTTGGCCTCTAACATTTTGCGCTGAATAAAGCTGGTTTAAAAGATCCGCATAATTTGTCTCCAAGACAAAGTGTGAGGTAATCTTAAGTCGCCCTTGACCTTTTATGACAATCGACCCAGATGCTTCATACGCGGAGCCTACATGCACGAAGGAGTACTGGAAGACGTTTCCTCGCATTTCATTGAATAATTTCAAGAGTTGACTCGCCCATACTTGGCATTTAGTACTCCTTACGGCACCATCAAGATGTATCGGTTTTGGCTCGTATAATAATCCCGTGGACTAATTTCACGTTAACTTCAATACTTCATATCACTGGTGTGGTCTCGTACCGTCCATAATGACGACAGGCACAAATAACATGAATTTTAAGTGAATATCATACCTACAGAGCTGCTAAGGAAAAATACGGGAATTCCATGTGGCGACGGTTTGCCGTGTTTGGTCATGAAAACCACCGAAAACGTGGCCGAAGCCAGGTGACTTGACATGTAAAAAATCCCAGCTTTAAGATAAAAAGTTCAAAAAGTTCGGAGCTCAACTAGCTGAAGTGGCATAATGACCTCTGCACACTTTTGAGAGATGCTTCCGAAGAGCCGAAAAGGCGCAAGGGCTGCCCAACAGACAGGTAATGGAAACCCCAATACATAGACAGCAGATGTGTAGTGTCCGGCGTCGAACATGCTGAGACGACACATCGCCAATATAATGCCAGTGTTTCCGTCACAATCTTCATCCTGGCGAAGGATGAAGGATAATAACCTTAAGGCATTTCACTCGCGTGTGTGAACACGAAGTTCCTTGTAAATATTTCAGTTAATTCCTACACATACACACACCAACACACACACACACACACACACACACACACACACTAAGCATCCTCCTTCTGATACGATGCTCTCAGCTCCAAGAAACGGTTGAGTGCCTAACCATGCAATGCACGATGCATTGTGTACAGTCCACTGTGAACCCAAAGTGTTGCACTAGCATAAAACACTGACGTCATAATCGAGCCAGTCCTGGAACAAGGCAGGCTTGCATCCACCGCCCACGTCTCCATCGGGCTGAGTATCGTGACACGGTCGCGACGCTCAGTCCGGTGGAGAAGTCACTAAGTGACATCATCCCGGCAGTGCCCCGCCCGGCTCCGAGAGGGGGCTCGTGACACCCGATCCCGCAGCACCGGACGACGCCGAGCCGCGCCGTCTGAAGCGGCGGCACGCGGCGGATCTGCTTCTCACCGGCGCCCAGACCGGCCCCGGCGCCGTGCAGTTCCGGTCCCCCGGGCGGTCCCCGGGCGGCTCGTGCCGGCCGGTCCGCGTGTCTCCGTCTGCATCGTTTCCGCCGGTGCGACCGCCGGTGACCGACCTGCCGCGCGGGCGCCGCCGGCCGCCGCCAGCGTCGCCGCTGCTGCCAGGGCGACGCCGCGGCCCACTCGGCGCCGGCCATTGTGACCGGCGGCTCCCCGCGGCGCCGCCGGCCGCCGTCCGACCGCAGTCGACCGCTGCCGGCACGGTTGCGGCGCCGGAGCGGCGTGGACGGAGCCGTGACAGACGGCAGGCGCCCGGCGGTGGCACACGCCCGCCAGCGTCGCGGTCCGCACGGCCGGCTCGGCGCCGGTCAGGCTTGGACCGCACGCCATGGCACTAGACACACACTGGGACCGGACGCCATAGTACTGGACACACTGGGACCGGATGCCACGGCACTGGACACGCTGGGACCGGACGCCATGACACTGGACACACTGGGACGGACGCCACGGTCCTGGATACACTGGAACCGGACGCCATGGTACTGGACACATTGGTACCGGACGCCGTGGTACTGGGTACGCGGTGTCGGACACCATAGGACCGGACACGGTGGGACCGGACGCGCCGGCACCCGGCGCCTGAGGACGGGTGCGCCGGCACCGGCCGCCTGAGGACGGACGCGGTGATCGCCCGGCGCAGGTTGCATGCGGCAGCCCATTCCGTCCGCGGCCGAAGCGGACCGTGAAGAGCCGCCCCGTCATCCAGGTGTCTTTGCCCCCGCGACTCCGGCGCCGGCAGTTTTTAGCGCCGACTGCCGGCCGCATTGTTTTCTGGGATGGCTGGTTGACGGATCACCCCCGCCGCCCTCCCGTGACGGGCTGGAACTGCCGTGCCGGGTAGCGTCGCTGCCCCCCTGCGGAGGTGGCGGGCGGCGGCCTGAGCGATCGGCGAGCCGCTGCCGGCTGTCGCGCCAGCTCGCTGGTCCGGCTCGGCCGGCCCGGTACACTGGGGGGGGGGGGGGGGTGACCGCGGCCCGGTACACTGAGGGGGTGACCGCGGCCCGGTCACCCGGGAGAGTAGTCTCCGACCCTACAATGAATGGGCTGCGTGGTGGCTTATTCTTAGTGTTGGCCAGACCAAGGTGTTTGTTGTTCGATGGGTGCTTCAGTGTACCGCCAATGTATCGGTTTACCAGCTGCTGTGTAGCCATAATGCGAATCAATTTTATGCGCACCAGCTGGGATGCCCGGCGGTGCCGGAGTTATCATGAAATGTATCGTGCAAAATAACTATTTGATTTGAGATAGCCGCAGTTTGCGATCGAACATTGATCTGGCTTGTGTCGTGGATATCATGTGTAGTTGTATTTGTATTGAATAGTGGGACATGTTCAAATGAAATTGCCGGGCTCAACTCATTTGCTCCAGCAATACAGTTAATTCAATGTCAAATCTATTGCATCCGCAGGGATTTAAGTTCAGAGAAGCCAAGAGCAAACGGTAACACGCATTCTGCAGTTACACACCAGTCTCAGATTACCCCCTGAAGATCTCGACACGAGACGGGTCGTCTCGTTCAACTGAATCGTTGTTTGACCAGTGACCAGTCCATGGAGTCACGTACCCTCCAAGGAACTCGAAGGGCATACCAGATGGGACGAGCGGAAATCTTGTGATGAAGACCATGGCATCGCTCCCATCATGATGAGCACGCCTCGCTTGACCGCCAAGCTGTGTGACGGCAACCCTGATGGTTCCAGGCTGCTGAGATCTCCAATGGGCAGTTTGCAGCCCTTTCTGAAGTTTGGTTGATATCCACAGACTGGCAGGTCACTGTCTCTCCACGCTGCTTCTCCAGAAACTTCGAGCTCACATCGTCATCAGCAAAGCTTTTTTCTGCGCCCGGGTGACCTACTCGCTGAGCAAGACTGCGCTTTGGTATCGCTTTTCCAAGGCGGGAAAGCTTTGGCCCGGAAGCCGCAGACAAACTCTGCCTTTTCGCCGCAGGTACGTTTGATTTGGCTGCGTTAGCGTGGGATGGCCATTGCGACCTTATAGCAGTTGGTTAGTCAACTGCCCCACTGATTTGTCACCGTTTTGGTGTGCGGAGCTGGTAGTGAGATGTTATTTGGTGCTCTGTCCCTCGCTCACCATTCGTCACATTGTGATTTATGCGACGCCACGGATAAACTGTCGCGTAAGAGTCCTTTTTTCGAACCACCACTACATTTGTATTTGAGTTCCGCTGGTCGCTTTGCTCTGGTCTACACTCTGTCTCCCCGCAACTGGTGGATATGCAATCGAGCGGCACGCGGATGACAACATTGTTCGCTGTCTTGGCAACTTTGAAATTGAAGTTTTAAACAGAAGTTTCTGATAGGTTTAAACTGCACCGAGCCGACTGCCGTCAGAGATGACTCTATGGGGCAGGTGTAGCGGCGGGTTTCCTCGCGCGACACCGTGCACGGCGGCGTGCCCTGGACCAAGCGTGACGTAAACCTTCCTCTCGCCACGCTGAATCAGGCCATATGACGTTCCGATGGTCTTCCGCCAGTGGTTCATGCAAATTTAGAGGCCAAATGGCAGAGTATTCCCAGGGCTATTTTAAGATTCCACACCTGGTGATTAGCACGGGCTGAATGCGGAGCCGGTAGAGTAGCTCATGCCTGTCTCTAAGCTCGCTTCCCAGCCGCCGCTCCTGAAGCGTGTCAGTCACCGCAGACATCCGAGAGGTCTCAGCGGCTGGGTGCGGTAATTGGCGTCGGTTTGCCACCACCCAGACTCCCCCTCCCCCCCCCCTCTCCGCAGGCGAGGCGCCTGAGCCAGCAGGGCACTCGCGCGAGCGGCCAGTGCCACCACGTTTGCGGTAACCAGAGCGGCGGCGATGCCGCAATGGGCAACGAACCCTTTAGCAAGGAGTCGTGACTGCTGGCTGCAAACGGTGTCCCTGGCCCCGTGGATGTGGTACTCAACGTTTGTTCGAGGCGATTTCTGCGAGTGTCGGTCACAACTTAACGACTCAAGTATAATTGGGACGCTTAAGCCTTTTGGCGGAATGTAGACCGCGCGGAGCTGGGTGGAGGAAAAGATAACAGGTTCACTGCGTCACTCGGGTGGCATGTGTCGGCTGATTTTTTCTGAGATATCATTTTGGTGATAACATTTAGTTGAATTATGGTGAACTGGTAACATGAAAGCCTTCCAATTTATTCAATCATCCGGAACTACCGCACGCCTAGCCTGGGGCTTCTTCCAAGAAACACCGCTGCCCATCTCAGTCTTATTGCAAACATCAGCGAAAATGAAGCGAAACTCGCCATCGACAGTTACTACATGAAGTCGCATTTAGATCGCTGACGATGAGCAGCGGGTCAAAAAAGCTGGACCGAATAACGCCCATTCAAGAGATCACAATATTGTAGGGCAATGCATCTCCCGGTACTCGCATATGGTTCGTGAATTATGTTAACGCAGCTACGTTCCACACACGTGGTCATGTTCATTGGGAAACACAGGCAATCATCAAACAATTTATGTAGGCACTGACCAGCTGCGATAGGTGTTAGTGCGCAAACTCGCCGACAGTACGGTTGAGCGGTTGCATAGTTTTGGTAAATCCGCTGACATGGGTGACGGCGACTGAACAGTTTAACTGCATGTGGGAGAAATATTTCACTTCACCCGCTCTGTGAGCGGCGCCAGCGTGTTGGAACGCCACGTGAATGTGTGCAATGAATGCTAATGTGTTACTAGATCTTCATGTAATGTGCATGCCAGGAGGGCAACGACCCATGGATATTAAGCAGTGCAAAACCGAGGAAACTGGAGGTTATCCTACCTCGTGTGCCATTGTATAACGAAATATATAACAGCGTAACAACGTCCTTCCTCCGTGAACGAGGAAGACAAGAAAACGGAGTGCATATTTCAAATGTTGTTAACGCGTTGCCTTTTGACTGCCAAATACGCATATCCGTGTGTCGGTAGGTGGAAGCCACTTATGGCAACCCACAAAATGCGTGTATCAGAAACATGTCACAAAATGCTAGTCTTGAAGTCAAGGACACAGTGCATTCGCCGTCTTCCCAACGTCTGGAGGTGTCGAGGCGTTTGAGATCACGTCATCCGCGCCCAGCTGACCTGCTTGCTGAACACCGTTCAGGACTTCCCTCCGACATCATCTCACCTACAACAGCTCGTGTGACTGTGACTCAGTCAAAAAATTTGTTATTAATATCTACCGAAGCTTTCTAAGTGCCAAACAGATGCTGGCTGTTTGAATAAAGTTTTGAGACTTTTACAAATACCGGATATATGCTAATACGCGCTCGGGTAAGGGTCAAATTCCCCACCCAAAGGTTTTTTTCCGGAATGGTTTCCGAACGGCGCGGCGCAGCCGCGCCAAATTTTTCACAGCTGTAGACAATTGAATGGCGGATCGTATGTTATCAAAAATTGGATGTACCTTGTAAGGTCGCTGGCTTGCGGCGGGTCAAAGTCAGGTCAGGGATTCAGCGTAGTCAATTTTAAGGGAATCGTTTAATCTGATGAAACAACGGAATGTTAGAGGAAGCCATGCATCTCATCTCTAGAGATACTTTCTTAGGCAAAACAGCAATTGAATGACCAAATCACATTGACCTAAGGTCGGGTATGAAGATCAGAACAAGGTAAAAACCAGCCTGTTTTATTTCTCTAGAGCTTGCTCTATGGGGTAGTTCCTGGTGCACATTTCTAGTTTGTTGACAACAGCAACCGCATTATACACCTTCCATAGACTTCTTACGGGCCAGAACAGGTCATTGACCTGAAAGGACCCAGTTAAACATTTTGTTTTTAGGAACATACTGCCTAGCGTAATCTTTGTCACTCATTCAAATGCAAAACTTAAGGCGTTCTTGTATGATTTTGGTCACTTTGACCTTCAAAACGTCAAACAAGGTCACTGACCTTAGATGAGCATGCGAACTTTTGCTTAGAACAGTTATTTAGGTTCTAAGAGCCCTTTGAAGACCAGCCTGGAATGTGACCTTGTTTGACCTTATTTGGCCCGAAGGTCATAACCTAGAAGCCTCTAACTTTTACATAAATGAGTTCACGTCCAGGGCAATACGCCTTGTGCATGTGGTATCTTCAGCCCTCTTGGTTTCTGAGATCTCAGCGGGGGATCAAATTGACCCGCACCCCAGCGAAGGTTATCCAACCGGCTACCCGGGCGCGTGTTAACGGGAGTGGTAACAAACAGCCGCCGACGTGTAACATACCCAGAGAAGTTGATTAGATCGGGTGCTATACGCTGATAACGGGTCTTGCTTGGATCAGCTCCATCCGTCCCCCATAAATCTTTCTGAATTGCGACATTCAGAAGGGATGCACCGATGTTTTTTTCCGCGCTCATTTGCAGATGCAGAAGGTAAATGCGTAAAGATCTGTAGGTACCAGTTGTCCCATGCGTCGGTACAGCACGACATGCAACATGTGAAACGCCTTTTTCATTTCGATAGCAATACAAACGACTGAATTTTAAATCCACTCCTACTGAGCTGAAGCTTTCTGGTGGTCCCCCATCCAGCTGAGGACACATTGCCAGGGCCCTCCGCCGACCCCCGTGTCACCCCAGGGCGACTATCGCGTCGAGACTCCCCTGCAGCGCCGGCAGACTGACCTGACAGCGGCCAGCGGAGCCAGGCCCCTCCGGGAGACGGGAGCCATGGTGTCACTCTGGCCTAGGCGTGCTGTGCCATGCCGGCGCCGCGCGCTGCCGTCTGCTGGAGCTGGCCCGGCACTCCTCCACTTCCGGAGGGCGCGCTCCACTACTGACGCACCACTCTGGGCGCCGGCGTATTAATACGGCCGGCGCCGTGACGGACGGTACCGTGCGGTCAGCAGCGGCCGCCGCCGCCGCCGCCGCCGTCACCGCCGCCGCCGCTGCCGCTCCCGCCGCCGCCGCCGGCCCGGCTCAGGTCCGGCCGAGCCCATGGCCCAGGTCCGGCCGGGCCCGTGGCTCAGGTCCGGCCGGGCCTGTGGTTCAGGTCCGGCCGGGCCCGTGGCTCAGGTCCGCCAGAGCCCGTGGCTCAGGTCCGGCCGGGCCCGTGGCTCAGGTCCGGCCGGGCCTGTGGCTCAGGTCCGGTCGGACCCTTGGCTCAGGTCCGGCCGGGTCCAACCAACGTTACCACTGGAACTTCATTCGCTCTCACCACTGTGGCTTGATTGCCTTGCTGCGATCGAGGGCCAGAACAAACGCCGATGCTTTTTGAATGTGCTTACCATGTTTGTGATCGTGCTCAGTAATGCGCGTCGAGAGTCGAAATGTTTTATCCATTGTCGCTGGCTACAGGTGTTATCACGTTCATGTCAAGTTGCATGACATTGTATGTATATTTCCTGGCCAAAGACAGGAGCCGTGAATGATAAAAAAGCAGGGTGATGCAAGAACGCGCGGTAGTACTCGCACTAGTGATAACGCATGAAAAGAATACATAACGTTTTCTCGTCAGTCCTCACGTTTTGAACCCTCAGCTGAGCTTTATGTATTCGTTTCGGACGGTCACAAATATCGTTAGCACTTTAACACGATAAGAGGCATATCACTGTTACAATTCAGAATTAGGTCGTCGCTCGTGGACCTCCAGCCTCCATCACGTTTGTTAGCATGACTCCCTTTGCATATGAATACCCCTCGTTCGATGCACTAACTGTTCCAAAATGTGTGCGGGCTGTCAGCTCCTTTCCCATATCTTTTCTTTTCATTTCAAAGCAACGCTGTTCTTCATGCGCCTAAAAACGCATCGGGCTGCGGCTGTGTGTGCACTCGAGTACTTAACAGCCTCCAAAAACGAGAAGTGCACTGTAACGTGCACGGAATGCCACACGCACATGACAGCAGGGCAGCTCTGGGATCATGTCACAGTGGGAGCTGACTGCTTGAATTGCTGGAATGCATTTCAGGAGACTCCAGACTGCAGGACAGTGAGCTCCAGAGAAGAGCATCCCGACCCCTCGCTCAAGTGGTCCGGCAAAGATGCGTCGCCTTCAACACCATAGCTCAGAGCGTGTTTCTCCAAAACGAGGTGCGCGCACCAGTGCTCGGAATTAGCGCAGGTTTTTGTGCCTGTCGATGGCCCAGAATGGTTAGGTTTCCTTGTGTCTTGTTTTTCATTTCGTGTTTCCATTACGCCGTCACACCATGTCCGATGCACTCGTCTTTTGCCTCACCTTCCGGGCCCGCTGGTGATGGATCACACATGGGTTGACCGACTCATTACCGGTTTGCCACACGTGAGTGCGCGTTAGAGCTGAGGATCGTGATTTGTGGGATTCGAATTGACGACGGAAATCGGATCCTGCGAATTATCCAATTCTAAAAACGAGAATTCGTGCCCTAACATGAAGTTACCAAACCCTGAAAGCCATCGTTTAAAGATGCAATTCAGTGTATTAGCTATCATCCAGGATCGCATTTACTTAAGACCAAAGAAGTAAAAAAATGTATATGTCAGTTAGGTATCGGACTGAGTCACCCGTTTTCCACTTCATTATATTGTTCCTATTGATTGCATCATTGTAACCATGGTCGAGTTCGATATTTCAACGTATAGATTCAGATATGCTCGCGCCCATCCAAATCTCGAATCCGGGGTACGAATGCACCTATCCTAAGAACACCAGAACGTTTCGCTGCGTTTCGCTGGCATATTTAGCCCCGGTCCCCACGCTACCCTTGCAGCCGTCGCGGTGGGCCCCGCGGCGCCTGCCGGCCGGCCGACCTCCACGGCGTCCGCGCCGGCCCTGTGACCGCCGTCGTTGTTCCCAGCCCATCGCCAGGGCCTCGGGCTGCGGCGGCCGGAGTCGGGCCGGGCCGGAGTCCGCGTGCACAGTGCAGCGCGCGCACGTTCACCCGACTCGAACGGAGCAGCTGCAGTGGGGTCAGAGTCCACGCGACACCCACCTGTCCCCGCCGGACCCCCGTCACCCTGAACCGCATTGTATCCGTTAAGTCGGCTGCGTGCTGCCGACCTGATGGATTTCCTCGTGACGCCAGCGGGAGTCATTAGTCCAGCGCCAACGGGGGCGCTGTGATTCACGTGGAAGGAAGTGAATGAACTGTTGCTGTTCACAATGAGCTGCTGTAGCTGCACATGTGTCATTGGTGCGGCATTTTTTCTCACATGTCGCTGTGAACCATACGTTTAAACAAAATGCCGGCCAGTAACACTGGACTGCATAAGGACATTATGACCAGCACTAGCTTCGCAGATTACAAATTCTTAGCGCTACCGGTCCTAGCATAACATGACAAAACCATTGCTTTGACTGATCGCCCGGTCGATGAAATTGACGCATGAGAACTGCTATCAAAAGTGGCGCACAAAAAGCCTCCGTGTGCCGCATCAAAACAGCACTCTCGATATCTCACACACCGTTCGCTGCCCCAGCGGAGCGGAGCGGCCGACCCACCTCTACACGTGCCCGTGCGTGTGCCCCGGGCGGTGACCTTGACCGCCCCTGACTCGGGGCGCGCGGGAGGTCAGCCGGGTGGCCGGCCGGCGCCCAGTCGCCGGCGGACGGGAGTTTCGCCCGCAGCCCGGTCCGCGGCGGGACCCGGACGCTGAACGCCACCCTGGGCACGGCCGCAGACCAGGCCCGGTGAGTGCGACGCCACGGCGGTTCATTACCCCCACGCACCCCGCTGGCGGCCGAGCAGCTGCGCCGTTAAAAACCGTCGACGCGCGTAAATGAATATTCCGACCGTCGGGACCCGGAGACAGATTCTGATTAACTCATCAGCGACCAGGCTCGTGTGTTTAGCAGGCGGTCGAAGTGTGCGGCTCTAACAGGCGGGAGCCACTGGCTTCCAACTGCGTAGCGGTTACGTAACGACGGTGGGTGACTGAAAGAGGGTACTGGATGCATGCCACTCGATGACATGAATGGCGACATTTGCGGCCGTTTCATAAGCTTAGTTGGCCCTTGCCCGAGCATACCGTTTACCTGTAGGCATGTGGTTGCCAGCCCGACGCTGGGTTGAACATAACGCTATGTGTTACACGTGCGTCTGAGATGAGTGCCGGCGGCTTTCGTGAGACCCGGGAGGCCTGTTAAAATCCGCAGTTGCATTGCTGTCGCACAAAAGTCGATTCATTCATAACATATCTACGCAAGTGGCTGTGTTTAGATACCACTGGCAATGTGCAGGCTACATGTGGCCAACTGCCCGAACAACTTTATCTTTGAACAGTCCCCGCGATATGGAATGGGCATTGGTCTGCAGTGAGCAAGCATCGGCACGGCTTATTTCACAACAAAGGGCAAATTGCGGCGACCCTTCATGCCTGGATCGGCTACAGTTCGTTCCTGCCAACAAAAGCCCGTCTTTGTACGGACAGAAATCACTCGACGGCCAATTAACTTTGTCGGCTTCACTGATCCTCTCGTATTTCCACTTTAATGTCTCGTCCGTTAATGTATGCTCCATCGTCATCAGCGTGTGCAGAGCCGAGGTGTTTTATGGATGACCACCCAGGGATGGGCCGACGGCGTCGGCTGCAGGTGGGATGGATTCAGGGAAACGTTCGTGCATCGGATTCTTCTGCAACCGAGACTTCTTGCCCTGAGTATTTTAGAAGAAGAAGTATTGAGGCCCTGAACACACCGGACATCCAGATACGAAAAATCATTTTAAACAGCAGGTTGTGAAGACCGCTAATGTATTGCAATTAGCGGCCGGTTAAGTTTAGGCCAGTTGGCTGAGATGTAAGTTTGCCCTGATATGGTTATTATCCTTAGGAATTTCAACACCTGCCAAGGTGATGCAAAACAATCTTTGTCTCGTGGGTTCCCGTTAAAATTCACTGGGCCTGTTCTCAAGACTTGAGGATTTAAAAGGAATGTTTCACACTTGAAGGTACTGGAATAAACATGGAATATGATGAAATAAGCTCATGTTTAACTACTGGTGCGCTTTTTAATTAGAAAAGACTGCCCAAAGAAGCACAATTCTGTTAAGCGAATATGCTCCTCACTGCGTCATGGTTTCATTACGTCATCGTGCTTTACACAACATTGACTGAGAGCCAATTGATCGCCGTTAGATCTGGAAATCGTCCGTACGAACGCAAGATATCAACGCCTCGACAATACATTTTTATTGGTCTTGATCGCCGCATGCCTTATGGAAGAACAAGATTTGAAGGTTGTTATTATGACGTTATGAATGCCAAAGTGACTTTGGAATACCCACCCCGAAATGCTCTCCCCATTGGTGTGGGCGTGAAGCTCAGAAACTAGAGGGGCTCAGATGTTGAGAAGGGCCGAGTTTTGAACAACTGTGAAAGTCTTCGAGATGGTTAATTCAGTTCAAAACCCCGCTTCAATGCGGAACACTTCCTTTAACCACGGACTTTGACTTCAGCTCTGATCGGACTTGTGAGTTTTTGGTCAAAAGCTGCTGATGTGCCGTGCTATGAAGCAGTTGAGTTGGCATGTTTGCTTCGCTGAGGTCCACTTGCTTTCGAAGCTGGGGTCGCGCAGTTTATGCCAATAGGTGTCATCTGACACCGCTCACGCCCGGGATAATTAGTTGATAGCCATATCTTTTTGGTATTTAATAGCAGGGCAGAGCGTCCACATCGCACAAGCTGTTACTTATATTATGTTATATATATATATATATATATATATATATATATATATATATATATATATGTGTGTGT